TTTTATGAGATTCCTTTGCTTATCCTTTTGAGTAACTCTTTCAATTTTTGTGGTTCCGATCACCAGTGGAGCATAAAGAAGCTATGCTTTGAGTTTGACACAGATCCATATTATCGGTCCCTGGATGATAAAGTGAAGGTGAGCTTTCATGAAAGTCAAGAAGGTTCATATCTATTATATTCTTTTACTTCTGTACCAAAAAAATTAATTTCCTGACCAAAGATTTGTATTATATCTTACAGAAATATGCTGCTGTTGCTGGTATAGAAATTTTTTCTCCCGTGAGTCATACACTTTTCAATCCTGCAGATATTATTCAGAAGGTAAGCGTTCTCTATTTTATGCTAACAATAATGATATTGTTATGGTTAGAACATCACAATTTTGTTTATTTGGGCTTAGAATGGAGGAAGGCCGCCCTTGACTTATCAATCTTTCGTGAAACTTGCTGGAGAGCCCTCGTTTACCTTGTCTCCCATATTAACTGAGCTTAGTGGGCTTCCTCCTGTTGGAAATGTTGGGGAGTGCCCTGTATCAGAAGTCCCTTCAATCAATGAACTTGGCTATGAGAACATTCCAGAGGTATGGAGCTCACTTATATAGTTAAAAGGTCCTTCTTGTTCACTCTAATGAACTTTGTCGACCAGAACGAGAGGACTCCCTTCAAAGGTGGTGAATCTGAAGCATTGAGAAGGTTGAGAGAATCCATTTCTAAAGAGGTACTTTAGCGACTTTAATGTGATACAGTTTAGTTACTAACAATATTAGTGATAATGACCGTTTCACAGTTAGATTTACGATCATTTTTGCGATTTCAGAGCTTCACATTTTCTTCAACAATTTTTCTACTGCGCATTTGTGAATTTTTAGTAATTCCTTTTGCAGGAATGGGTAGCTAACTTTGAGAAACCCAAGGGAGATCCATCTTCATTTCTAAAACCAGCAACTACTGTTTTATCTCCTTATTTGAAAGTACGTCATGAATAATAGGTCCTTACCCATTTATTTACTGAAGCATTCTAATATTTTCCTTTCACCAAACTGTTTGAAGTTTGGCTGTCTTTCTTCTAGATATTTCTATCAATGCATTCAAGAGGTTCAGGGACGTAGCAAAAGGCACACATCTCCTCCAGTTTCACTTCTAGGACAAGTAAGCGCAACTTTTATAACATCAAATGTCTTGAACTTCCATTCAACTGATGATCTGAAATCTGTAGTTGTTATGGAGAGACTTCTTTTACACGGTTGCCTTTGGAACGCCTAATTTTGATCAAATGAAGGACAATAGAATTTGCAAGCAGGTACGGAAGTTATTCCCTGATTGATTTGGTTGACTGCGACTGTTTCTTTCTTTCTCTACTGTAGCAAACTTCATTACTCAAATTTATGTCATTGAGTTCGCTTCCTTTTACTTATGGTACAATTTTCCCTTGATGGTGCAGCAAATGTTATGTGTTTATTTCCTTCCCTTATCTGGTGTTTTGCATTTAAGAGGAATTTGTTGCTTGCGTTGGAACATTCAATGATTTGAAAGCTGTAAATTGCACTGCATACACTAATTATCTTTCTATCTCGCTTAAACCAATCAGACAATTCTCCATTCATAGCTCATGTGTAAATGGCGTTTTGCTGCAATTGTTTTAGTTATTAGACAACAACCAAAATTATAAGGTACCTCTGTTCTTCTTGAAGAACTTGTTTCTTAGTCCCTTCAAGTGAGTGTCTTCCTTTCATTTGTTTCTTTTTAAATTATTAGATACCGTGGAAAGATGATGATGAATTACTGGCTGCTTGGAGGGATTGCAGGACGGGATTTCCATGGATCGATGCTATAATGATGCAGGTAGCTTTGGACTGTGATTACTCTTTGATATACTCTGCTAAATCTGGTTACTATCGGTAAGTTTTACATCCAAACTTTTTTAACATGTTTAATGTAACAGCTTCGAAAATGGGGCTGGATGCACCATCTCGCTCGGCATTGTGTCGCTTGTTTTCTAACTCGTGGAGATTTGGTAATCGATTTTCTGGAAGTGTTCCACAGTCAAACATATCCTGTATATCCTGTGTCATTGATAGTGGTGAAAATCTTTGCAGTTTGTGCATTGGGAAAAAGGACGTGATGTTTTTGAGAGACTTCTTATTGATTCAGATTGGGCAATTAACAATGCTAACTGGATGTGGCTATCATGCTCGTCGTTCTTTTACCAGGTTTGAGAAAAGTAATCATTATCACTATTTCATCACACCTTGGTAATATCTTGAAAGATTTTCAATGTATTTGTTTGCACTTTTAGAATTTGGCCATAAAATAATATCACAAAGTACATTTGAGGGGTTGGTTCTAATATTTCTTAGGGTGTGAGGGGTTTTTACATTACATTGGTTGCGTATTGGTAAACATGAGACATTATTTTTTTAGTACTTGTATTTGGTAATTTGTAACATTAAATTGGGTTTTCCTGTTAATAGCCGAACCTCAAGGATGTTTAATGTAATTAAGCTCACATATTATTACAATGCCAAGCATAGTTAAAGCTGGATTTTATCTTTCATTTGAATATTTTTGTATTGTTTTGTCACTTTAGTTACTTGTTTTTATCCTGGACTCCTAAGTCCTAATAGAAATTCTGATTCTCCTTTTTATTTTTTTATTTTTGTTTATTTTTTTATCAGTACAACCGGATCTATTCTCCAATCTCATTTGGGAAGAAATATGACCCTAATGGCAACTATATTAGGCATTTTCTTCCAGTTTTAAAAGGTATTCGGCTGCTGCTTTTTGACTGTTCATTGGCATCTTATGTTTTGTAGTATTGAAAATCCTATTGGTTTTCAGACATGCCCAAGGATTATATTTATGAGCCATGGACCGCCCCTCCAAGCATACAAGTTAAAGCTAAATGCATTATCGGGAAAGATTATCCAAAACCAGGTCAGTTAACATATTATCGTTTGCTCGTCAATTACACTCTTGGAATCTATTGGTAGATATGGTTCAGTCAGCAATAGATGAATCGGAAATGGTGCCATTAGCATATGGCTTATTTTAGTCCACTACTAAATGATACCCTTTGGGAAAAACTGCAGCTTGTTAATCATAGCAAGTTCTGAAATAAATTTCCATTAGGATTTAATATGACTGTGAATTGAGATATGAAGTTACTTGCACTCTTCCCTGTTTCAAACGCTTCCTTTTGAAGCTTGTCTTCTACATTTTGAGAATATCTGGTGGAGAACTTATTCTATATTGAAAGTTAAATCCGTGTTTTGTTTCCTGGTTTATAATCATTTTCCAGTTGTCGCACATGACGTTGCAAGCAAAGAATGTCGGGGGATGTTGTATGAAGCTTACGAGCTGAACAAAAGTTTAAATGGCAAAGTGAGTGAAGAAGATCTAAATAGTTTGAGGAGGAAACTGGACGAAGATAAGAAGTCGGAACCGAAATCCAAGAGGCTAAAACAGACATTGCTAGATAAGAATGTTTTAATTAGCTCAGATGATCATATAAGCTAGTTATATTTCAGAATTATTATTACTATGCTATGAGATAAATAAATAGTATATTGTTCTTAATTGGTTTACTTTTTTCGCACAAGTGAATTTTTTGTCAATGACCCAGTGAAGGTTTTAGGCTGCCATTGGTTTATAGAATAAAATAGTTATTTCTTGCCGAATTTTTCCTACTTTTTTTTTTTTTTTACAAC